GGTGCGCACGAGTTACTTATTCGTGCGCACGAGATATATAAATGTTCATGTTTCTATGTCACTATCCGAGGCCCATAAATAAGATATTTATTTTGACTAGGTTATGGCCCTTTGTGTGGATCCTGTGGTAGGGTTGATCAGGACGTGCTTACTATCGGTCTGTTAATCTTGTCCATGCCATAACTTGAGAAGGCCTGGTTTATTTTATTTGGTAGGGACATTTCCCTTGATGTTCGAGGTCATCAGGTCAAAGGTCAAGGTTTACATGGCTCTTCATGTAAAATCCTTGTCTGATGAATGACTTGAGCAGGAATAAGCCATGGTTCTTATCACAATTGTATGGACATTTCGCCTGATCAGTAGATGACGCCTAATGATTTAGATGTAATTGGGTTAAAAGTCAGAGTCACAATAACACTTAATGTCATATTTAATAGCACTTCAGTTTTACATTGAACGTCTTGTTACTTGATAGGGATATTATCCTTAGACAGTTAATGGGAAGTTTAAAACCATATTGATCTCGATGTCACTAGGTCAAAGGTAAACACCACAGAGACACATAATGTAAAGTCCTTGTCGAATCAATAACTTGAGAATAAACAAGCCATTGTTACTTTGAAAGAATATTGGTCAAGGCAAGTAGATGACCACTACTGATTTTAAAGTAATAAGATCAAAGGTCAATGTCAAAATGAACATCAAAAGGAGCATCATTGTCCTGGTTAACTAAGACACAATTCAAATAGTGTAATCTGATTGATTAATTATGTCGTGCGTACGATTAATTATCTCGTGCGCAAGACTTGATTGTCTCGTGCGCATCACTTGTTACTCGTACACACCACTTAATCTTGTGCGCACGACTTAGTAACTCGTGTGTACGACATAGTTTCTCCTGCGCGTCACTTAATCATCTCGTGCACAAGACTTAGCTACTCGGTCGTACGACATAGTATGCCGTGCGCATCACTTAATTATCTCGTGCACAATACTTATCTATCGCGCAGACACGACTAAGTTGCTCGTGCGCCCGACTTAGTAACTCGTGCTTACGACATTTCTGCTTTACTGGTTATACACGGTTGTATTTTTTCAATCCCTGACTTAAATAAAAATACACATTTTCTAAATTATTTGTATTTCTTTTTCGGCGTATTTTAATCTTCGTTGTTATAAAACGCATTTATAGCAGTTAATGAGACAGTTCAATTTACTTGATTAATTAACTGCATTAATATAGTGTAACAAACAGACAATATATAATGTTATGTCTTTGAATCTATAATCCAATATAACCACCGCTTGTGACCCTTAATTGTCCCATATGCAGATATTTTGAATGACGACCTCAACTTGATCTGAACAATCTAAAATGCTTCACGTCGTGTTATTATTATTAACATTTCTGCAACATAGTTTCAACTTCATTTCATAGGTTCAAAAGATACGAAAAGAGAATATGAAATTCATAGCTAGCACATTATCTGATTGTGCTAAACATTTCTTCCAAGTATCATTTTCCATTTACACTTAACGTTTCAGAGGGGACTCGAAATTGTTTTGTGGCGGATGGACAATCAAAGGCATAGCTTAAATGCACAAAATTCTTTGGCCGAATACAGATGACATACATCAATCTACACAAAGCAAAAATATGTGTTAAGTTTAGTTATTATAAATTTTGATCACTTACTACAATCTTGTTCGTCTTCTCCTCCAGGGCATTCTATATGCCCATCACATAGAAATCTCTGCTCGATACAGTAACTTCCAGGACATTTCAATGTATTTTCAGGACAAATGAATTTTTCTGAAAAAAAAAACCCACCAACAAAAACAAATAAACAAACAAAACATGAATAAAAATGAAAATGTTGCAATTTAATGCAAACAATTATTTTTAAGCAAAGCACTTTTAAAGAAGTGATTGACTTAAGAACATTTCTTATTCTATTTCTTTTTTCCTATTAGTATTGAAGGGAATTTACTTACACTACATTGTAATTGCACGATCATTTTTAATATCCCTCAATGCTTTACACTAATAACATAACATTAAAAAGTAGGGCACATTTCTAATAAATTCTATACTTCAGCGTAATTAGAATTTTTTCCCAGAGAATATTTTGTCAAGACTTTTAAAAAACATGTCCAAATGCATTCGTTTACATTACATGTTATCATAAAAATATTGTGGTGATGTGATAAGTTTCAAAAGTGACAAGCTGTCGATTGATGATATAAAAAAACGTTTTTGGTTTCGCTGCCCTGTTAAAGCTTCAAACTCATGAACCCTAAATTACTTACATTTTCTTTTTGGTTTCAACTCAAGTTATTTTCGATAGTTCTCAAGATATTAGTTCTTAGCATTTTTTTATATTTTGCTCCAAGTTCATTATCAAAATATTGTTTTAAATACATTTAAGAAAGATTCTTGAGAGGTAAAATACATTTTATTATTGCAATGAGAATCTTAATATTTATCAAGGTTTTAAGGACAAGAAGAATTTTGTCTTCATTACTACGCCGATTGATTTTCATGGGGAATCAGACGTTTTCTTTTTATGTGCATAAGGTTATTATAGTCATATTTTTTAACTTTTGTAATTTTGTTACGATTAATGCTTCCGAGGGATCACTTTGTTTCCAGATTTTTTAAACACACGGCACTGTTTTTAAAACTAAGAAAATTATAGGAGAAATTAACAGTTACGTTGTATAACTAAAGAGTAAGACTGGTGTTTGTTCAATCTAAATTTTAAATAAAATTGTGTAATAAGTGTAAGTCAGGGAAAACCTATGGCGCCATTACAAGTATTGTTTTTTATTCATTTATTTTTTTATAAATACGTAGTTTGTAATGATGCATATTTTTAAATCTGTTGCCTTTTTTCTTCTTTTTTAATGACCAGTGGGTTAATATATTAACAAAAAAGCAAACATTAAGCCAAACTATTTTCTGTGCGAAGTCATCTGTTGTAATAACAATGCAGTGTTAATGAGTGCATGATTTAATCATTTTGTGAAAAAGTATCACACATAATATTCATAATTAATAAAACCTCTGATGATATTTTATATCTTAAATAGAGCCAAAGTTTGTAAAATCGAAATTTGACGCGCAATGCCAATTGTAAACGTATCTCTTACAAAAAGTACGAAACTAAACTACCAATCTATTCTTAATACCTTTGACAATAATTTTAAATTTACGCTTTATAGCAAAAGAAAGCTTCATTAAAATTGTTTGTATACAGAACAAAAGCAAACAAAAGCGCCAATAACAAGAATTAAAAAGATACTTGGGCGAGGTTAAAATGCTTTTACTTGAATAGACTTTTTGGAGTTTTGTAATTATAGAATTGAATTTTTTTTTGAAATTGAAAGAAACACTACAATGTACAAGATACATATTAAAAGTAAAGGTCATGTTTATTATAGTGTCACCCCTACTGTAAGGGCCAGCCATTTCTGATTAATGAGACACCTTTTTATTGCATACCACATACTTCCCAACTTCTAACACTATGCCAGGCGCCAGGCGGATAGAAAACGGTAACCATTCATTTTAACTACCTTGCGACTCACGAAGCGGTCATTTCGGGACGAGTCCCACCTTCAATTGACGCTCCCCGTGGGGCTCGAACCTTCTACCTCCCGATTCGAAGGCGGACGCATTTACCACTAGGCCAACGGTACAGTAGATATGTATCTAAATGGAACTGTCGTATTTTCAAAAGTGTACATTACACTTTAATTTAATACACCAATTAAGACATGATATGATATATCAGGAAGACCGATCATTGTATTTTATTATGTGCCTTTGGGTATGCACATCTCAAATATCCATCCGAGAAATTCAACTCGAAAGAATTGCTATAGATGTTAGAAAATGTGTACAATATGCAATTCTCAATTGTATTCCTGGTCATAAGTTTATGCACTTTCACTTTGGGTCGTCAGATGCCGGCTAGGGGTTCTACCCAGCTACATGAGAATATTCTTAATATTGCCTCGTCTTCGGCTATATTTCAGCTGTTGGCACCACAACTAAACTTAACAGTTCGGGCAAACCTGCTGTACATGAACATGGCGTTTTTCCCTTTAAAGGCAGAGGACATTTAAAAGCACCATTGACATGCATTTACCCCGTCCCAAGCAAAATTCTTTAACATGCCCTAAATTAAACTTAAATCATGTCGCGCAAAAAATACAATGCTACTTCTTCCTAAATAAAACGGGAGGGCCTATTCCGCTAACAGTGAAAAAAACTTACTTTTATATAAGTTGGATAAATAAAGAGGAAACGGACCGGGCACAAAATATCTTGTTTTTTTTATACAATTGAGAACATAATTATGATAACTATTAATCTGATAAATATATTCGTTACCACAATTTTGTAAATGGTCTCCAGACCTACATCCAGTCAGGTAACCGCTGGCATCTAGGGCATAAATACAAATCATCGATTCTGGTATGATTTTGTCGTCTCTTTCACAATGGAAAAGCTCACCAAATAGGCTTGCATTGTAATCTTAGAGATAAACAACAATTAATTAACTTAAATAATTAAAAACAAATCAACACATGCTAAATACAAAGTATCTAGCCAGAATTGTACCTGAATAAAAAAACAATGGCAACAACAAAACAGCAACAAAACAAAAAAACAAGAGGGTCATAATTGCACTGGAATCGCTCACCTGTATTTTAAAAACTCTCCATGAAAAGGAACAAGTAACATTGTAAACTATAAACAAAAGCAGATATAAAATCAACATCTTAAACTGCTATCACAAAGTTCATATTTGTGTCTGAAATTGTGCATGTGTAAAAAGATTAGTTTTTAATACATACATCTAAAGAAAATCAATAACCATCCGGGGCTGAACCAGTTTAGACCACAGAGCTTTTGTTTGAAAAAAAAACTTGCTAGACACTCACTAGAAAATGTTTCATGCTAAATATCTAAGTTCTAGCTCTTAGGTTTTTTGTTTAAGTTTTTTTTGTTAAACCTATACATATATAAGGAAAATCATTGACCCCCGGGGCGGGGCCAATTTTATTTCGAACGCTTTTAATTGAACAAACTTGGTAGTCCCCATTAAAATATTTTCATTTTAAATATCTAAGCTCTAGCTCTTTGTGGGTTTTTAAAAAAAGATTTTTAAAGATTTTTCGGTTACCATGGCAACCAGAGTTTCACATAGAATTAAATTCTTTAATCAATTTTGAAGGGTGAACACCAATTTAACATTTCTATGACGTAAGGATGAAATTGGCTCAGCAGTTTATTAGAGGATGTCGTTTTAAGTAAAAGTTTACAGACAGGGCGGACGCCAGATGAAAAGCAATCACAAAAGCCAATCTTGTCATTTTGTGACAGGTGAGCTTAAAAAAAACACAAATCAATGAACCTGACATGTAATTTGCTAATTTGAAATAATACTAGTGTTGTACAGCTTTTGAGATTCAACTATGATGTTTGAAGATAAGATCAAAAATAGATGTTTCCACAAAATAATTTAAATCTGCCACAGGTCTAGCTTAAATTCCCTCACATGACATTCACTTAAAAAATGTAAACGTACAAAAGGATAAAACTCCGAAAGCTAGGTTTTTGGGCTGACATGGAATAGGGGTGAAACATGTTTAAATTTATAAGCAAAAACAAAAACACTAAGTCGCGATAAATAGTTTTCACTTATGAACAGGCTTCTTCACTTCGATTCTAAATTTACATATAATATTAATGTTTCAATCCAAAACGATTAGTTGATCCATGCATTACTTTGTGTACTTTTCTATAAGAAAAATGAATAGTTATCAGATTAAATCTTGAAATAAGCCCTTTAGTCAACTATATTTTTATAATGTGCGAATATATCTCGTTCTGAAAATTACAAAAACAACGCTATTTTGGAAAATAATTCAAAGAATTGCAGTGCGGTCTGTTTCATATGTCTAACATCATTCGACAATATTGTTTTATTGAGTATGTTACGAGCCAGGCGTAACGAGAAAGAAACGCCAGCAACAAACTTGTAACAATATAACAAATTTATTACAGAAAAATTATTAAAGAAAAACTAATTAACAAATTATGTGTACAAATACCTGAAGTCCAAATAAAAATGTAAAATTCAAATGTCTAGTCTGATCCTGGAATGATCCCTTTTTGAATAGCACAGTTAAATCCAAGTTAAATCCAAGAACACTTTAGAATAAATTCCCACAATAAAACCCACAAGAATAATCAAATCTATTTTAAAATCGAAGCTTCAACAAATCAATTAATATCCAAGTTGAATAATACTCCAAATATATTGATGACTTAAAAGGTAACTGATGACTTAAAATATCACTGATGACTTAAAAGGTAACTGATGACTTAAAAGATAACTGATGACTTAAAAGGTAAAAGTAATGAAAAATGTCACTTTATATATATTAACTAAGAAAATTCCAGAAAAGTCTATTATGTTCTACAGTAATCATAATCTAGCAACTTCAACAATAAAGAACATTCCGGAAGTTTCTATCTAAATATAATGCATGAATCATAATCTAGAATTTTCTACAACAGGTAAGAAACTTCTTGTTGACATGCATGTAGTTAATGTTCTAAAAATAGAACAATGATAATATTGGAAATACCAACTGGTCAGATATAAATTATATACATGTAATATGTTGCATACATAACACTTCCCCTCTTCAAGAAAAAGAAATATGAATGAAATGAATATTTCTTTTACATAAATCCAAACAATGTAACTTACAAATAACGTAGGAGAAATGTTAAACAATTTTATACATAAAATCATATATATGTGTGTATTATAAACAATAGCAAACAACGAAGTAAAAATAATCAATCATATCATATAGATGTTAAATTTAAAATACTGAAAATAACAGTTTTAGACACGTGAAAGTGCATCAGGGATCAAATTATCTTTCCCTTTCTTTTTCCAACTGCCTTTTTTCCCTTTCTTTTTCTTCCCTTTCTTTTTTTAACAGTCTTTCTGCCCTTTCTTTTTCTTACTGTCTTTCTTCCCTTTCTTTTTCTAACTGTCTTTCTGCCCTTTCTTTTTCTAACTGTCTTTCTTCCCTTTCTTTTTCTAACTGCATTTTCTCTAGTTCAAATTTAAATTGAAGTTCAAGCTCTTTTATCTTTATTTCTGGGTGTGTTTCAACAATCTGAGAAAGTGCATCTTCTCCAAAAATATCTTCATCCACAAAATAACGAATCAGAAGATTTTTAATTTCTTGTTTACGCATGACAGATTTAATTTCTGATAAATTATACTTGTTTTGCAAGATCAAGCAAATCAGTTTTCTTAGCCAAATCTAATACCCCCTGGGAAGGTTCAGCTACAAACGTTTCTAAATCAAAAGACATGACTGCTTGCTGCTGGTTTTAAACTTAAATGTGGTGTTTTTTAAAAAAAAAATCAGAATTGAAAAACACACTTGATAGAACAACTATGATATCAACTCAGATGAGTAAATACGGTAATAATAATATGTAAAATAAACGGTTATAATTTTCAATAATGTAGCCAAAAAAAAAATTCAATCCCGGACGAACCCCCAATTTCTGTTACGAGCCAGGCGTAACGAGAAAGAAAAGCCAGCAACAAACTTGTAACAATATAACAAATTTATTACAGAATAAATATTAAAGAAAAACTAAATAACAAATTATGTGTACAAATACCTGAAGTCCAAATAAAAATGTAAAATTCAAATGTCTAGTCTGATCCTGGAATGATCCCTTTTTGAATAGCACAGTTAAATCCAGGCTAAATCCAAGAACACTTAAGAAAAAATTCCCACAATAAAATCCACAAGAATAATTTATTCTATTTTAAAATCCAAGCTCCAATAAATCAATTAATATCCAAGTTGAATACTACTCCAAATATATTGATGACTTAAAAGGTAACTGATGACTTAAAATATCACTGATGACTTAAAAGGTAACTGATGACTTAAAAGATAACTGATGACTTAAAAGGTAAAAGTAATGAAAAATGTCACTTTATATAATTATATTAACTTAGAAAATTCCAGAAAAGTCTATGATGTTCTACAGTAATCATAATCTAGCAACTTCAACAATAAAGAACATTCCGGAAGTTTCTATCTAAATATAATGCATGAATCATAATCTATAATTTTCTACAACAGGTAAGAAACTTATTGTTGACATGCATGTAGTTAATGTTCTTAAAATAGAACAATGATTATATTGGAAATACCAACTGGTCAGATATAAATTAAATACATGTAATATGTAGCATACATAACAAGTAAAACATAGTATCAGATAGACAGCCCATTGGTTCTTCTGTACATTAATAAAAGTAATTCACCTTTTCTAAATAAAAACAATGTGTATTTATTTATGAAGTTTCAAATTTAAATGTTTAATATATTTTGAGTTATGCTCACGACAACATGAAGTATGACAAATTTCAAAGGGATTTCACTCTAAAATTTAATAAAAGATGCTGATAATTATTAGGTCTTGTACCTTTCTAAGTAAGAGTTTTCTATTTAGAGAAAATAAATAAAACTGTATTTGTTTCTGAAAATATTAGTATGTGTTGCGATTATACATGTAAATATAAATAGGTGAAATACCGTAGGTGCAATAAGGAAGTCCAAATTT